ACAGTGGCGCACACCTGTAATCCCAGAGACTTGGGAGGCTGAGGCAGGAGGACTGTGAGTTCAAAGCCAGCCTCAGCAACTTAGCGAGGCCCTCAGCTACTCAGCGAGACCCTGTCTCTAAATAAAATATAAAAAATAGAACTGGGGATGTGGCTCAGTGGTTAAGGCCCCTCAGTTCAATCTCTAGTACCAAAAAAAGAACATAGAGGAAGAAATGTTTATTTGGGGCTTATGGTTYCAGAGGTTCAGTTCCGTTGGCCACCTCTGCTTCTCTGGTGAGACCAAGCATTACTCTGGAAGGCTGTGGAGGTGGAGGTAGGAGGCAGCTCAGAACCTGGCATCSGGGAGCAGTGAGAGCAACGTGCACCAGGGTAAAAGGCACACCCCAAGGCACACCCCAGGGGCCTGCTCCTGGCACGCCACTGCTGCCATCCACGTCCTTGTTCCCATCCATGTCCTCAGGCTGCGCTTCTCCTGAGCACCACGAACACGGGACCGCCTCTGCCCCTGTGCGTCCTGCACACGTGAGCGCTCCCTCCCATCCAGACCCCTGAGTGGGTCGAGGGTGAGGCCTCTTTCCTGGCTGGTCCTGCCATACGGGACTCTCCAGGCCTGTCGCCTCTGCTGATCTGTCAGCGAGCCGGCCCTGGGGTCTTCCTGGGCCAGGGTCTTCCTCCCTGCCCTCCCCTGTGCTGTCCCTCCTCCCTGTGTGGCGCGTTGGTGCGAGGTGAGCATGTACGTCACTGAGCGCCGTCTCCTTGACATGCAGGCTCAGAGGGACGCAGGCTGAGGCCCTGCCGCAGCTGTCGCATGCAGTCAGATCGGCTCTTTCCCTTAGGTCCAGACAGTTCTTCCCAGGGCTGGCACAGTGTGTCCACACCCAGAGACAGGCGGACTTTTTTAGCTTAAGTTTTCCTGGGATTTCTTCTGTGATGAATGAGTTACTTAGAAGTGTGTTGATTTTCGAATATTTGTGAATTTCCTGACCTGCCTGCTGCTGTCCACGTCCAGCTCCCTGCCTGTGTGGTGTGGAGGACACCCTTGCAGGGTGCCTGCACCCTCAGGCTTCCTGAGCGTGTCCCAGGGTGCAGTGTCCAGGGCTGGTGGTCTTTATGGCTCAGGCTGGTGCTGGTGTTGAGAGTGAGTGTCCAGGTTCCTCCTGTCTCAGATTGGTGGCTCTTGGATGTGCACTGGGGCCTGTTGTGGGCAAGCAATGTGTGGTTCTCATCTTGGACTCCTGACTCGGCCTCTGCCATTCTGGGTGGCCCTGCACTCCGAGGAGCTCCTGGGCTGCCTGGCCACGGTCTCCCGGGGCCACACRTGGAACTGAGGGCGCTGAGCAGCAGCTGTCCGTGCGTCTGCACTCAGCGTGGCTCCTCTTTCTCCTCCTTCTCTTCCTCTTTTTCTTTTGAAAACAAATTCATTTTTAAATATAATCAGAAAAATCATGTTTAAACTTGGAATCCTTCCTTTGTGAATTTAACTGGATCCTATGATCTTAGATTCTAATTTCAGTCATGCAGTCTTTTCCTACTCATTCCATTTCCAAAATTCTCCCCATCATCATTTGCATGTCAACAGCAGTTTCCTCAGGAATCCCATCTGTCCCAAGTTCTTGTGGGCTAAAGGCGCCATTCTTTTCTGTAGTTCAGAAACACTGCCAAGGCCTCTTCTTCATGAATTTCCTGACCCTGTCCCTCAAATAATGCAAGTCCTGCAGCAGCCCTGCCACAGCCTCGGGGGTATGAGCTTGAGAAGTCAACGCTGGGGAGGCGGGGAGGCCCACTCCCCTGCTGGGTGCTGGGTGCTGTGTGTTGGGACAGGTTTTCTGGTGGGTGCAAGGATTCCGTCACTGCTTCACTCTTCACGGTCCCCGTGGTGTGTGGGGCCCGTCGTGGCTGACCTCTGATCTCTGTTGCCCCAAGAGCCTGGGCAGGTCTGGACACAGGCGGGGTAGCTCACAGGAGCTAGCCTCTGGGTGAAGGCCGCATCGCCCCCCACCACGGCCCCTCCAGGCACGAGCTGGCAGCACCATTGGCCTGTTAACACGGTGTCCCTCCTTTCAGGACTGGAAAGACCATCAGCACGTGTGTGGCCAGTCGGCAGCTGTCACCGTTCAGGCAGAAGAGGTCCACGTGGCTGAAAGTGTGATTGAGAAGGTGGCCGTGTGAGCCGCCCCACCTACCCTACCTGCCGAGAGGCCTCACAGTGGAAGCCCCCAYGGACTGTGGGGGTCGTGAAGGGAACTTGCTGGACAAGTTATCCACGGACTCCGAGTGGACTCGGAGTGGACCCTGCCCTGCAGATGRGCTCTTGCCACCCAGAAGCCCTGAGGAGGTTCTGTGGCACTGTGGGCGGGACAGGGTCCCTGCCCTCAGGGTGCTCTCCCGGGATCATGAGCGTCAGGCCTGGCCAGGTGTGTGTGTGCTGTGACGGTGCACACCTGCTGTCTGTCGATAGAGTTGTAAATAAAGTCCCACCCACCCGACGGCCGTGCCAGTGTCACAGGGCCCTGGGTACAGACCGCCTTGYAGGCTCGGTCCTGTGGTCTGGATTGCATGGTGCTGGCTGCAGCTCCCTGACCCACCATGGTGAGGGTGGGCACAGGGCTTCTTTTGCTGACCACCTCTGGCCCCATTGAGGCCTCTGAGGTGACAGGGTGTCTGCCCACTGCCTGTGCCCRGCACTCACCCAAGGGCCCTCTGTCACCCACCTGCAAGGCCTGAGAAGTCCTTTGGTGGAGATGGATCTGGGAGGATTGTGGCCACCTAGCAGTGCATCTGGGCTCCCTGGCCTCCAAGTTGTGCCCACCAGCTTGGAGGCTGCTCAGGGGCCCAGAGGCAGCCAGTCCGTCTGTGTCCAGGCCCTCTGCATGTAGAGTCCTGACCTTCACTGTGTCCACGCTGTCCCTCCTCACTGCCCAGAGCCGTGCTGACAAGCCTCAGCAGGACCAAGGGCCGGAACCTCTGGGGAGACCCACTGGCTGTTTGGGCGTCCCTCTSCGCCGTTTCTGTGAGCCCTACACTGCAGGCGCCCAGAGTCCTCWGCTCTGTGCCCTCCCCTGGACTAGGGATGGTCCACTCCTGCTGCCCAGAGTCCACACCCAGCATAGCCCTGGCACCCACTGGGATATGATCTGCAGGGGCAGCAGAAGGCTCTGGCAAAAAGGGTGGGGAGCCAGGAGGCCACCGTCAGTGAGCCCTGCCCTGTCTCCCGCGGCTCAGTCCTGCCGGGCACCTGGGAGTTCCAAGGACCTGGGCTGAGCCCTCTTCCCACCAATCGGGTCCTCATGGCCGCTGATTCATTTCTGCCTGTGCTGAACCTGGTCCGCCTATACACAGGCCCTCCAGGGGGGATAAGCTGTCCCGACCTCCAGAAGCCCTCTCTGGTGGCCACGAGGGCATTGCATGGCCCTGTCCTGCCAGCCAGGCCATGGAGAGGCCACAGTGAGGTCCCATGGCACAGCGGTGGTACAAGAGGGCGGGCTCTCCCTGCGGAGATGCAGGCTGAGGTGGCAGAAGACTGCACAGTCAGCAGAGGGCCCTGCACCCAGGACGAGCCAGACCCTGAGGACGTCCAGGCCACTGCCAGCCCGGGGCGCCAAGCAGGCGCACTGGAGCACTGTCTGTGGGGCACTGCCACCTGGGCACTGTGTCCTGGAGTGATGGGCCAACCTGTACTTTGTCCTTCAATTGGAAACCTGAGGACTCGTGTTTGTTGGGGTCTCCAAGGCCCAAGGCTTGTGATCAGGGGATCTCAGCATGGGCTCTGGGATGCAAGCCCCCAGCTGCGTCCAGCTTCCCGTGACCTCTGTCCACCTCAGGGGCATTCTGACCTCCCCTCTGTCTGAAGGGCTYTCGGTCTAGGTCAGCAAGGGCCAGGCACATTGGGCCCTTAGGTCCCCAGGGACAGAGCCCAAGGGAGCCCCAGTTCCAATTCCGGTGTCAGCACCACTCAGGCTGGGGACACTCAGGCCGGCAGAAATAAATCCATGACCTCGTCCACTCCCTAAAGGGATCAGGGGCAGGCTACGACAGCAGGTCAGGGGAGGCTTGTGATGTGACCGCACACAGTAGACGAGGCTGCGGCACTGGACGGTACTAGGGTGGGCCCAACTGCAGAGCGCTGTAGCGTGCTGAGGTGCCTACAGCCATGGCCCTRACGGCCCTCAGGGCATGTCCCAGGGTGCCGAGCCCAGAACTTCACACTGTCCAGACAAGAACGCAGGCCCTTGTGGCAGTYTGAAGAGGCAACAACCTGGACATAGGACACACAGGACAGCTCCTGCCAACAGGGCTGACAGGAACTCTCCCATGACCAMGGACAGGGACAGCCACGTTGAACTGTTCTAACAGGAGCTGTCCCTTTGCCCCCGGGCCAGAGGTGCCTCAGGACAGGCAGCTTGGTGTCCTCTGCCCAACCCTGGCCCTGCCGTCTTCTCCCYGAGGTTGCCTTGGGACACGAGAGACAGGTTTGCAGAGCACACGRTTGGCCTTAGTGTGGCACTCCTTCAGGGAGCCCTGGGTGGACCTCTGCCAATCCCCAGTCCCTTCCCTAGCAGGCACCTTCTGGCCAGGGGCTGGCAGCTGGTTGGTGTAGTTTTGTTTTTTGGCCTCCAGGAAGCTCTGAAGAGAGTCCTCTTGCCATTCCCACTGGGACAGCAAAAATCCCACCCACCTGGTCCTCAGAAGCAGGAGCTGGCCGGGACCCTTGGTGGGTACCTTCCACTGGGTGCTGTGCATCTCAGGAGACCCCTGTGCCCCCACCCTCAGGGCAGGCAGAGGTCTCCCTTCAGGACCATCACCCCAAACACTCTCCTGTGGTAAAGGGGAAACAGCTCCCGGATGCTACCCTGGGTTGGAGCTGAGGGGRCTGCCCCAGCTGCAGGACCTCCTCACTCTGGGGAGGAAAGGGTCAACCGGCTGATGGGGTCCTTGTTCAGAAGCCCCTCCTCCTCACACGGGTCCCAGGAACCTGCACAGCATCCGGAAGGAATCTGTTTAATCAGAAGCACAGCAGGGCCCCGGGGCTCTGCAGCTGGGGCGCAGTGCCTTGCGGAACACCGTGCGGAACTCGGTGTTGAAGACAGTGTAGATGAGCGGGTTGAGAGCGCTGTTGACATAGCCCAGCCAGGTGACCGCGCTGACCAGGCGCGGGGGCACGAAGCAAGCCCGACACAGTGCCCCTGTAATGTGCACCACGAAGAAGGGCGTCCAGCATACCAGGAAGGCCCCTGGGGGCGAGGGCAGTCAGCCAAACCGGCGCCCCACGCCCGACCCTCTCCCATTCCCCTCTCCTCCACCCGGCCGCCCTGCCCCTCCCCGCCCCCTCTGCACCTCAGCCCCCTTCCTCCGACCCGCGCCAGGGCAGGAACCCACCAACCACCACCGGCAGGACCCTCATGGCCTTGCGCTCTCGGCTGGTGATCTTGGCACGCCTTTGGTGGGCCTGCGTCGGGGGCTGGGGCGAGAGCTCTGCTTCAGGAATGGCGTCGAGAGGCGGGCAGCCGGGTCCGCAGGAGACCCGGTGGAGGACCGGCCCGGGCACCGGACAGTCGGGCCCGCAGGGTCCCGGGTGAAGGCTGGGTGCAGATGGCGGGCCGGGGCCGCTGGGCCCGCGGGGCGCACGGGCATGCAGCTTGGCTTGCCGGGCCGCTCCCCAGCGCCGGAGGCCGCGGAACGTGGCCCAGTAGAGCAGCAGCATGAGCGGGCAGGGCAAGAAGAAGGAGCACACGGACGAATAGACCACGTAGTCGCGGTCCTCCAGGCGGCAAACGGCAGGGTCKCGACCGCGCACGTCGTTGAGGCCGCACAGTACTGGCGCCGCCACAGCTGCAGAGAGCAGCCACGTGGCACCGATGAGCAGCAGTTGGCGCCGGCCCTGGCGGTGGTAGCGCAGTGGCACAGTCACGGCCACGAACCTGCGGGGCGCGGGCGGCAGCAGTGAGGCCCACGGAGCAGCTGGCGCGGGGGTATGGGGTGGGGGGACAGCRGGGGCGCCCACCTGTCCACGCTGATGGCGCACAGGTTGAAGATGGAGGCGGTGCACAGCATGACGTCCATGGCCATGAGTGCGTCGCAAAGTCGGGGGCTCAGYAACCACGTGCCGCCATGCACCTGGGTGGCCACACCAAGGGCGCAGCAAGGAGAAAATAGTCCGTTATTTATTTGCTAGCTGCAGACTTTCTGACCCCCACTTTTTTGAGGGAGCATGGACTGAGTATCAGGGGAAAGGAAATCTGATGTGAGCCTCGGGCAACTGGGGACACTCACTGGCCTGGACAGTCCTCTGACTGGTTGGTTGACTAGGTCAGGGGCAGGGACAGAAGCCAGCCTCCTGCCTCAGCTCTCCCTTCCTTAGGATACGAAGCCTGGGGAACATAAGTGGGGGGGGAGGCTCTGATGTCCCTGGCTTCAGAGGAGCCCCAGGACTGGATGGCCCTGAACACAAAGCTGCCCTTTTCACCTAGAGCTCTGCTAAGAGTGGGCCTTCCTGAATAGCTGGTGTTGCTGYTGTGGGACTCTGGACAAGCTACTTCTCTGTTTACTCATCTGTGAGCCCAGAGGTGGTGGCAGTATCCACATCCACAACTTGTGGGTGGCAGAAGCCAAGGCAGTTGTGAGGGCGAAGGAGTTTAAAAAACACAAAGAACTCACGGCACAGTGCCCAGCACAGGATCACGCATGGGGGTATCCCTCTGCAAGGGCAGGAACAGGGTGCCACCCCCCCCTCTAAATCCCTTCGCGCTGATTTGGGACATTAGCAGCTTAAGAGCCGTCACCGTGACGTCCGCAGCTAGGAGGAGCCGAGGTCGTGTGTCCTTGCGGTACTGGCCTGTGCCCCAAACGACAGAACAGCCCTGTCCACCTTAGTAACCCACGTCTCCCCTCCCCCACAATCCAGGACACCTAGTTCCCAGCAGGGCCCTAAGCGGCTTTTCTCCGGGCTCAACCACAGAGGAGAGAGGTTGGCACTACAGTGGGACCACCCAAGGACCAGACCTGGCCTGGGTGTGGGTTTCTCACAGGGGTTCTGCCCCTCCCACCGGCCTCCCCTTGGATTCGCTGTCCAGTCCAGCTCACTGCTCCTGGAGGACCCCAGGCCTTGTTCACCAGCGCACGTGGAGGGCGCCGGTGTGGTGTGGATGGCCTTAGGCAGCGGTGTGTGCGCGCGCCCTGGGGGTACTGCGCGGGGCTGAGCCCCCATCTGGTGGTCTGTCCGGCTGGCTCCTCCGAGTGTAGGGGAGGGGAATCCGGTTGCGGAGAGGGCGGGGTTTGGCCAAGCCGCCAGTTTCTGGAGTCTCTGGCTCCAAAGACAGGGGCCTCTGGGTGGCAGAAGCCAAGGCCAGAGGCGAGGGGGAGGGGAGAAGAGAGACACAGGGGGACTGACAGCAAAAGGAGCAGAGACTCCAGGGACCGAGGACAGCCGAGGACCAGGGGGCGAGCAAGTCAGGCGCCCCTGCAACCGTCTGCTGCAACTCGATATTCCGGATCAAAGAGGCGACCTGGGTGCTAAGGGGCTCAGCGGGGACAGGGACGGGAGCAGGAGCAGGCGGGGACGCAGGCTTACCTCGGAGTAGACGAAGAGCGGCAGTACGAGGAGTGCGAGGAGGAGGTCGGCGGCCGCCAGGCTCACGATGAAGTAGTTGGTGGGCGTCTGCAGCGAGCGCTCCGACGCCACGCTCACGCACACGAGCGAATTCCCCGCCAGCACCACGCCAATGAGCAGCACGCCTCCCGCCAGTGCTGCCGCCCCCGCTGCCCCCAACGCCGCGCCTGACCCCGGGGTCCCGGTGCCCGGCCCACGCCCAGCCAACAGCCCGCCCGCGTCCGCGGCGCTGCGGTTCCCCATGGCCCGCCGGCCAGGTGCGCCTCGGCTGGCGCGGAGCGAAGCCCCGGCCCTTCCCGGAGCCCCGCCCCTGGCACGCCCCGCCCCGCCCCGGATCAGGGGGCCCCAGCGGCGCCCCGCCGCGTGCGTGTCTCGAGATCTCGGGGTTTTGCGCTCGGTGAGTCCCGCAGCCAGGCGAAAGCAGCGGCCGAGCGATGAGAACTGAGCGAGGTGATTGGCACAGGCAGCCCCAGACGGCATSGGGCGGTGCGCGGGTCTACCCACGGGATCCCAGCTGGGAAGGCGGGTCGACCGAACCAGACCCGGTGTGCGTGGGTATCGACCCCCACCTGGCACCCCTCTCCGGGTACCTCCTAGAAGCGCCTGGCTCCGAGGCGGATCCGCGTCTCCTTCCGCTCTGTCCAGGGCCGGGCGCCCGAAGACCCAAGCTCTGGCTCCGCCGAGAGCCGCTTTGGGCGTCTCCATCTTCCCAATCCCCGAGGCTCCAGGGCTGTCTCTCTCCCTGCCCCGAACCCCGTCTGGCCTGGGCGGTGCAACCCCGCCTGGCGCCCGAGTCSCGCCCTCATCCTCCTCCAACACTCGCAGATCCTCAGCAACGCTGCAGCCCGGCCCCGCGTGCCCGGCCCACCTTGCCCACCTGGCTACCCTTAGCCCTTAGTCCCCGCCACCAGGGACTACCGCGCAGACCTCAGGGGCTACAAGAACTAACTCAAGAAATCACGTGAGCACTGGACACGGCCAACGCTGACTACAGGAGCCGGTTCCGGTGGGGGGGGGGGACATCCCCAACAGGAGAAACTACACTAGAGTCACCTGAAAGACACATTAAGAGGTGGCCAGGGTTGGGGCTGCAGCTCAGTCGTAGAGCGTCCGCCTCGCAAGGGTGAGGTACTGGGTTCAATCCTCAGCACCACATAAAAGAAAATAAAGACATGGTGTGCATCTATTAAAAAAAAGAGGTGGCCCGAGGAGGCTGTGAGCGTGGAGGACCAGAACCGTCCCTGGCAGATTATAAAAGAGCCTAGGAAGAAAGTACATGAAAACGTCTTAGGGAGATAGTCTTCTCTGTGGACTTCAGGTTGGGGTGACACCAGACCCGAGTGATGTTTTCTGGGGCCCCTTGGCTAAAAGGCTGAACTCTAGGTGGGTCTCCAACTGCATCACTCCATCACCTTCTCCAGCACTGGCTCCCTGGGACGGCAGAGAAGCGCAGCACCAGCCCATCAGGAGGGGAGGGTCCTGACTTCAAAGATTTCAGGGTGTGGACTGGCAGAGAAACGGGGTGGTACTCGCACCACAAGGACTGGAGAGTCTGGGCTGTGGGGTGGGACGGGCAGCTGGTGCCTTTGGGCAGCCCCAGGCACAGCCAGCAGCCTTCCCTCCCCCTGAAGGCTTGAGCAAGAGAACTCGGCACAGCACTGGGGCATTCGCTGGCACAGAACCGAGATCCGGAGCAGGGTGGCCTTGGGTCTAGAGTGGGACACAGAGCTTCTTCCTGCCCCCATTGTCTTCCACCTGCCACTGTTTGAGACAGTGACGAGGCTCTGGGCCATGGCACACACCTGTCACTCCAGCAGCTCAGGAGGCCTGCCCCTCACCAACTCAGGAAGGAATAAGAGCACTGGTTTTGGAGCTGGGTGGTGGAGCACTCCTGGGTTCAATTCCCAGTGTGGAGTGGAGACAGGACGGAGAAGGAATGTGGCTGGACCTATAAATGACAGTAAGGTCAGACCTTCCATGTCCTTGCTAATTTTCAAACTGTTCTGATAGTTTCTGAGAGAGGAGTAGTGAGGTACCCAGGGTGAGAGTTCTCCTCCTCCTCCCCTTTTCTTCTTTCTTCCTCTTCCTCCTCCTCCTTCAGTTCTATCATTTTGCTTTGTGTATTTTGAAGATCTGTCACGAGGTGCCTATACATTCAGACTCACTTTTTATATAAAAACTAATCAACTGTCATCCCCCTACTGGGGAGGCTGAGGCAAGAGAATTGCAAGTTCAAGGCTAGCCTCTAAAAAATTTAGCAAGGCCCTAAGCACCTTAGTGAGACCCTGTCTCGAAATAAAAAATAAAAAGGGCTAGAGATGTAGCTCAGTAGTAGATTACCCCTTGGTCCAGTACCAAAAGAAAACAAGTAAACAAAAGTAACTCCAATTTAAATGCAAAAAAAAAAAAAAAACTATGAAAATTATGGAGAAAATGTGGGAAAAATATTTCAACCTGAGATTAGAAAAAGAATTTTTAAATCTGACACCACCAGCATGGATCCACAAATGGAAACACAGAAGAATGGGACTGTCAAGACTAAGAACAGGGGCTGGAGATGTGGCTCAGCGGTAGCGCGCTCGCCTGGCATGCGTGGCGGCCCGGGTTCGATCCCCAGCACCACATACCAACAACGATGTTGTGTCCGCCGAGAACTAAAAAATAAATATTAAAAATTCTCTCTCTCTCTCTCTCTCTCTCTCTCTCTCTCTCTCTCTCTCTCTCCTCTCTCACTCTCTCTTTAAAAAAAAAAAAAAGACTAAGAACAGCCAGGTGCAAAGGGACACACCTGTAATCCTGACTATGTGGGAGTCTGAGGCAGGAGGATGGCAGGTTCAAGGTCAGCCTGGGCAATTTAGAAAGACCGCATCTTAAAAGAAAGAAAGGGCTGGTGGTGTGGTGTAGCTCAGTGGTAGAGCACCCCTACATTCCATCCCCAGTTCCACACACAAAAAAACAACAAAACCCCAAAACTTGTAGCCACAGAGTAGAAAAGAATATTAGTGAAATATTATCGAATGTCTTGTGTATATGTGTATGCAAGTAGAATAATATGAGGTCTTTATAAAACATATAAAGAAGTCTCAAAATTCAATGATGTTGGGAGAAGGAAAATTGCAGAATAATCCCCCCTTGGAATCTAGATGCAGAAATCCCAGTGAAATGGAAGCTGACCAGAACCCAGCAGCATGTTTTAAAGGATTACATGTCCTGATGCAGGGGAGCTAACTCAGGAAGACAAGTGTGATTCAGGAGATGAAACTCAATCAATGGGGACTGGGGTTGTGGCTCAGCGGTAGAGCGCTCGCCTTGCACATGGGGGACCCTGGGTTTGATCCTCGGCACCACATAAAAATATATGAATAAAATAAAGGTATTGTGTCAACTACAACTAAAAAATAAATATTTAAAAAAAGAAACTCAATGCAAAATATCACAATAAGAGAAGGAAGAAAACCAGGTGATTGTCTCACTTGGTGCAGAGAAAGCATTTGACATAATTCAGTGCCCTTTCATGATTAAAAAAAAAAAAAAAAGACCGATTAGGAGCTAGGGTCTGGCTCATCCATAAAGTGCTCACCTTGCAGGCATAAGGCCTTGGGTTTGTTACAAAACAACCTGGGTAGAAAGATGGGTCCCCAACAGGAGACCTGCAAGAACCCAACCCTGGCTGCTCCCTGCAGCAGTGAGTGTGGCTCCCCAGGTCCGCGGACTTGCAGCTTGTAGCTTCTGCCAGAACACTGTCTGCAAGCTCTAGCCACAGCCGGTAGACAGGAAGAGCAAGTGATAGACGCCCAACAGTGAAGAGGAAGGACCAAGCCTGTTTCAATGTGCAGACTGATCTCATGCATAGGAAATCTTATGAAAGTTACAGTAATGATTCTGCAAAATTGGGGGCTGGAGTTGCCACTCAGTGGTGGAGGGTTTGCCTAGTGTGTGTGAGGCACTGGGTTTGATCTTAACACCACATAAAAAAAATGATATAAAAGGTATTGTGTCCATCTACAACTGAAAGGAATACTTTTAAAAAATTCAGCAAAGTTGAAAGATATATAGTAAGCATAAGGGCTGGGGTTGTGGCTCAACGGTAGGGTGCCTGTCTAGCACGTGCAAGGTCCTGGGTTCGATCCTCAGCACCACATAAAAATAAATAAGTAAAATAAAGGTATTGTGTCCAATTGCAACTAAAAAATAAATATTAAAAAAAATAAAGTATGGGGGCTAGGGTTGTGGCTCAGCAGTACCGCACTTGCTTGACATGTGTGAAGCACTGGGTTCAATTTTCAGCACTACATAGAAAGAAAGAAAGAAAGAAAGATCTATCAACAATTAAATAAAAATAAATAAATAAAGTATGGAGCTTGGGTTGTGGCTCAGCGGTGGAGCACTTGCCTGGCATGTGTGAGACCCTGGGTTCGATCCTCAGCACCACATAAAAATAAATAAAATGAAGGTATTGTGTCCAACTACAACTAATTTTTTTTAATAAATAAAAATAAAAAATAAAGTGAACATAAAATTAGTTGTATTTCTTTTTTTTTTTTCTTTCTTTTTTTGCAGTGCTAGGGAAACACAGGGTCTTACACATGCTTAGGCAAGCACTATACCACTGAGCTACACCCCCAGGCCAAAATCAGTTCTATTTCTATATGATAGCAAATAGTCTGAGAGTTAAATGAGGAAATTATCCCATTTGTAATAGCATAAAAAATAAAATAAAATTTCCAGGAAGGATGACTGGCAATTGTGACTCCCAGTGACCCAGAAGGCTGAGGCAGAAGACTCTGTCTCAAAGTTCCAAAAAGGACTGGCGATGTGGTTCAGTGGTGAAGTGCTCCTGGTTTCCATTCCCAGTACTGGGGGAAAAAGATAAAATATCTAGGAATCAATTTAACCAAGAGAGTGAAATACCTATACACTGAAAACTGTTGGTGAGAGGCGTTGAGGACCTGCACAAGTGAATCCAGTGTTTCTAGATGGGGACAGGTTGTCAGAATGACTTGTTGCTAGCAGGGCACTGTGGCCCATGCCTGTCACCCCAGGGACTCAGAGGCTGAGGCAGGAGGGTCACAGGTTCAAGGTCAGCCTCAGCATAGTAATGAGGCCCTGTCCCAAAATAAAAAGACTGGGGGAGTAGCTCAGTGGTAATAAAAGCAGATGGTGYATGTGTGGCTTATTGCCATGCCAAGTGGATCTACAGAACTGATTTACTATCCACATCTCAACAGGGCGGGGCTGGGGCTCAGTGGTAGAGCACTCATCTAGCACAGGTGAGGCACTGGGTTAAATCTTCGCACCACATTAAATAAATAACTAACTAATAAATAAAGGTACTGTGTCCATCTACCACTAAAACATTCTTTTAAAAAATTTCAACAAGCTTTATTTTTATGAAAATGGAAAGGCCAATTCTAAAATTCATGTAGAAATGTAAGGAACCCAAAATAACCAAAGTAATCTTTTTTAGGGGGGTGGAGTAGGGATTGAACTCAGGGGCACTTGACCACTGAGCCACATCCCCAGCCCTATTTTGCATTTAGAGACAGGGTCTTACTGAGTTGCTTAGTGCCTCACTATTGCTGAGGCTGGCTTTGAACTCATGATCCTCCTGCCTCAGCCTCTGGAACTGCTGAGATTACAGGCATGTGCCACCGTGCCTGGATGGAACACAGGGGTGTTTAACTACTGAGACATACCCCTAGTGTCCCCCTTTATTTTGAAACAGTGTCTCAGTAAGTTGCTGAGGTTGGCCTTGAGATCCTCCTGCCTCAGAAACCAAAGCAATCTTGGAAAAGAAAACCAAAATCTTTTTCAAATTTTCAGTTTCGAAATTTTAAGCACTGGGCGCAGTGGTGCACGCCTATAATCCCAGCAGCTTGAGAGGCTGAGACAGGAGGATCTTAAGTTCAAAGCCAGCCTCAGCAACTTCGAGACACTAACAACTCAGTGAGACCCTGTCTCTAAATAAAATTCAAAATAGGGCTGGGGATGTGGCTCAGTGGCCGAGTGCCCCTGAGTTCAATCAATCCCCAGTACCTAAATAAATAAATAAAAATTAAAACTTAGAACAAAACATCAGGAATTAAGAGACTGAATCTGGCTTAAGGATAATTGATAGCTCAGTAAAAGAGCATTGAGAGTCCAGATATAAACTCAGACATCACAGTTAACTGATTTTCAACAAGGCTGCTAAGACCATGCTCAGGGAAGACTCTCCTCCACTAGTGGAGTGGAACAGCTAGACAACCACCCGTAGGAGAGCACAGCTGGACCCTGAGTCACACCGTACACTCAAAAGGGTCAGGGATGCAAAGATGAGATCTGAAACATGAGGCAGGTGTCATGGTCCTGGAACAACCAGAAGCACCTGTGCAGGAACAGCAGCGGCAGCAAGGCCTCAGGTGTGGTACCTCAGAGATGCTGTCAGCCAGAGCCAGCCAGGTGGGGGCGCACCCCTCAGCCTCAGCTACTAGGGAGGCCAGGAGTTCTGCCTGGACCATGCAGTGCCCCTCATCTCTACACTAAAGAATAAGATATTCCGAAGAGACTGAAAACAGGACCCAGAGAATGGGAGGAAAGACTTTTTAATCGCACAGCTCAGAGAGTATGGTACCCAGAATGTATGAAGAGCACGCACAGCTCAACACAGAAAGGCAATCCAGCTTCAAAGTGAAGACACTGGCTCAGAGCTCAGAGCTCAGAGCAGACACTGGCCCAGCATGCATGGAGCCCTAGCTTCCATTCCCAGCTCCAAACAACAACAACAACAACAACGACGATCTGGACAGATAAAGAATAAACAGAAATAGCAAGAAGCACCCGAGGCACTGCGGCTGGGGCTCAGCGGTAGTGCACCTGCCTGGCGTGTGAGGCACTGGGTTCGATTCTCAGTATCACATATAAATATATAAATAAAATAAAGGTCTATCAACAACTTAAAAAAAAGGGAGCACCTGAGAACATGCCCGACCTCAGCCAGGTGTGGGGGCCACCCCTGGGACACCTGGGGTTCCAGCAGCTCTGGAGACCAAGACAAGAGGGTCCCAAGTTCCAGGCCAGCCAGGCAACTTGGTAAGACCCCATCTCAAAAAACAAACAAAAATGCTGGTGGGGGTGGGGGTCTGGGGCTGGGGCTGAGTGGCGGAGCGCTGGCCTGGCATGTGTGAGGCACACAGAAATAAACAGGGCTGGGGATGTGCCTCAGGTGGTAGCGCGCTCACCTGGCATGCGCGGGGCGCTGGGTTCGATCCTCAATAACCACTTAAAAATGAAGATAGTGTGTCCACCTAAAACTAAAAAATAAATAAACAAACAAATAAAATAAAGGCATGCTGTCCATCTACAACTAAAACAAAACAAAAAAAAGCCAGTCTCAGCAATTTAGCAAGGCACTAAATAACTTAAAGAGAACCCGTTTCAAAGTAAAAAGTAGAACTAGGGTTGTGGCTCAGTGGCTAAGTGTCCCTGGGTTCAGTCCCTGGTACCAAAAAAAAAAAAAAAAAAAAGAAAAAAGAAAAAGAAAAGAAAAAGAAAGAAAGAAAAGAAAAATCAAATATGACCCAGCAACCCACTCCTAACCATATTCCCCAAAGAATTAAAAACAGGCTCTCAAAAATAAATAAATAAATAAATAAATAAATAAAAGGAAAATAAATAAATAAATAAATAAAAACAGGCTCTAAGGCTGGGGATATAGCTCAGTTAGTAGAGTACTTGCCTAGTATGTACAAGGCCCTGGTTCAATCCCCAGCACCCTCCCCCCMAAAAAAAAAGAAACAAGCTTTAAAGAGCTGTCTGCACCCCCACATTCACAATGTCAAAGGTGGAAGCAACCTGATGGACAAACACCATCTACCCGGGCCATGGAATGTCATGCAGATTTGAGTGATCCCACTCCCATGGGTCTCGACAGTCACCATTCACAGAGACAGAGGCAGAGGTGATAACCAGGGGCTGGGGGGCTGCAGGCAAGCACTCTACCACTGAGCTACAACCCAGCCCCACTTTATGTTAATTTTTTAAAAGTAGATTTTCCTAGTGAAGATCTGCCTGGTTACTTAAGTGTTTGCAGATGCTGAGAAATCTCACAGATCCAGTTGATATTTGGGATTTGCAATGTTCTTATGAATGTACTTTAAATTTTTTTTTTAGTTGTAGATGGACACAATATCTTTATTTTTATGTGGTACTGAGGATCAAACCCATTGCCTCACGCGGAGGCAGGCACTCTACCACTGAGCCACACCCCAGCCCCTTACAAAAAGTATCATTTGGGGATGGGGTCTCACTAAGGGGCCAAGGCTGGCCTTAAGCTGGTGACCCTCCAGCCTAGGCTCCCGAGTGGCTGGGATTTCAACTGTGGCTACCCTGCCAGGCCAAGAGCAGGTTTGGAAGGCATCCATGGGAGCACCTTCTCCTCTTCCTGCCGCCAGCGTGGAGGAGGAAGCTGCTCTTTCCTTCCTGGAAAAAGAAAACCACGTGACCACAAAGCTCTCATCTGCCCACGGCGCTGGGGGGGGGGGGGCAGAGAAGGTCAGCGGGCCTGTTCTCTGCGCGGTCCTGCTGGCCTGCCTGCTGGCCAGGCAGCTGCGGCAGGCCCCTCCAGCTGTCCACCTCTCTCCTACCCCGCCCACCTCCGAAGCACCTGCACCCACTTCCAGCCGCCAACCACGGCAGAGCCGTCCAGGGCCTTAGGGAGAGGCTCACTTGGGTTCTGCTCCACGGTCCCGAGGCCCCAGGGCTTCGCACGTGCTGTGACCTACGCCTGTCCCGAAGGCGCCCGCGGCCGGGATGTCCCTCTTCGCTCGGGAGCCCCAGGGGATGGCAGTGCCCGCCCGTGGCACCCGCCATCCAGCTGGTCTACTCCCTGTTGCCCAGCCGAGGGGCGCCGACTTGGCGCTGGGGGAGGGAGGAGTCCCGGGCGACAGCTGGGGGGCGGCCTTGACCTTCTGGCGATCGATGGCTCGGAGCCGGGGCGGTGCTGGGCGCCCCCCACCGGCCCACCCTCCCGCTCCGCTCCGGGACCGCTATAAAGGGCCGCGCGGACTGGGGCCTGGGCTGCCAGAGCGCCCAGCACCGCCCGCTGCGCCATGGCTCCCTCGCCACTGCCGCCGTCGCTGCTGCTGCTGCTGCTGCTGCTGGGGGGCTCCACCGCGCGCCCCGCGGCCCCCAGGTGAGCCCGCGTCCGCGCCCCTCCCGCCGGGCGCTGCCCACCCCGTCTGACCTCGCCTCTCCCTAGGGCTCCGCGACACTCGGACGGGACGTTCACCAGTGAGCTCAGCCGCCTGCGGGACAGCGCGCGGTTGCAGCGGCTGCTGCAGGGCCTGGTGGGGAAGCGCAGGTGAGCCGGCAGGTGAGGGCGGGAGAGCAGTCTGGACCGGGGCCGGCGGCGGGACATGCCCGGTGCCCCGGCTCCAGGACTAATTTTGATTTGGGGTGGAACAGCGAGCAGGACACCGAGAACCGCACCTCCTGGTTTCAACCCACAGAGGGCCAGCTGTGCCTGCTGTGGTCAGACGAGCCAGCCCTGCAGGCCTGGTGAGCACCCGCCGCCTTCACCCACCTCCTGCCAGCCCTTTCTCCCGTCCCCTGCCACCTCAGGGCTGCTGCTGGTCAGGCAGTGGTCTCTAGCTGCCATCCCAGCCCTCGGCTTCATGTCTCTGCAGGATGCCACCCAGAGCCCCTCTGCATCAGGGCTGGTCTCCCTGGCTGCCTAGTGTGGCTAGGCCTGGTCACAGTTCCAGAGGCGGCTGAAACCACCCAGTGGTCCAGATGAGGACAGAGGAGGACCAGAGAGGACCCTGGGGCTGGGAGGGGCTGTACTTGGCACTAATAAAGGAAGAACTCAGACTCGCCTCAGGAGCCCACTGTGCATATCTCCTTACACCAGGGCACCCCCTGCACATCAGGCTGCCAGGAGGAAGGAGGGCCCTATCCTCCTGCTCCAGGTCTCCAGGTGACCACACCCAGCTGCCCTTTAAACCTGGGTGACCATCAGGCACTCGCCCTTATCGCTGGCCTCAGGGCCACCTCCTGTCCACTGGCTGAACTCCCAGCTCTGCTCCCCCCACTTTGTAATCCACTTAGTGAACGGGCCGTGTTCAGGGTGCTGCTGTCTCAGGGGCCATGTGGGTCAGTGTGAAGGGAGGGGCACAGACGCTCAGGTGGGGCAGGAAGGAAGGGAGCCACCCAGGATGCCTGGAGTCCCCTGGAGCAGGAGGACTGGAGACACATGTCCAGGCCAAGTGGTGGTGTGACCTCAGCAGGGCCTGTGCAGCAAGGGACAGTGGTGTCAGCCCCAAGGGGTGGGCTGCAGCAGGCATGTGGGTGCACCAGAGGGTGGGTGGGGCCTGAGGTGGGACTGCCCAGTGAAGAGAGATCAGGAGTCTCAGGAAGGCCACTCAGGCATGCGGTGCCCCACAGCCTCCCCTTCCTCAGAACTCAGTGGCCTCTCCCTGCTCTGAGGGATTTGGAGGCCAAAGAAAGGAAGGGGCAGGGTAGGTGGAGCTCTGGGCTGAGGACCCTCACCAGGACTCTGCTCTGTCGGTTACCAGGGCCCCCCGGAGGGCACAGTGGTCCCTGAAGCCCTTCACTGGGCCCTGCCAGGCCCCTGGGAGCTAACTAGTCTCCGAGGCAGGCAGGGGTGCCGCAGGACAAGGGGCTTTTCCTGCAGGACTGATGCAGGGATGGCCAAGGACCTGGAAGGGACACTGGGTCTGAGCCCCAAGGAGTGGCCGCCAGAATTTGGCCTTAATAAAATTCCAATGGCAGAGCCTARCAGGACAGCCTTGATCAGGGGTTGGGTAGAGCAACCAAAGCCTGGCCTAGTCTCTTTCCCACCTGTGCCCACCCCTCGCTTCAGCAGCCCTGCCCCCCCAGATCTGCACCCTCAGCCCCAGGTCCATGCCCCCCAGCTCTGTCCCCACAGCCCTGCTCCAGCCCTGCACCCACAGCTCTGCACCCACAGCCCCAGGTCCATGCCCTCCAGCTCTGTCCCCACAGCCCTGCTCCAGCCCTGCACCC